AAAATGGTCTTGATCTCCTGACCTTGTGATTTGCCCACTGAGGCCTCCCAAAGTGCTGGGATCACAGGGGTGAGCCACCGCACCCGGCCTCAAATCTTGAATTTTTAAAATATTTTCGTGATACTCTCTGAAACTTATTTTAGTCAGAGATATTTTTAGTCACATAAATATTGCTAGTGTCGGACATCCCTGGGCAGAGATCTTATTTTCTGATCTTTTCAGTCTCTGTCCACTTTGTATATTTTTTCTACTTCCGTAATAGCTTTCTCTTCCAACTCTTCTATTGCATAAGGATTTAATTTTAGCTACTGATTTCAAAGAACATTTGTCTTATCAGAGTTTCCTTTATTTTCAAGACTTTCTTGATGTGAGTGCAATATCTTTATTTTATTTATCTGAGAATATTAATTTTAACATTTACATATATATTTTCTTTGTTCTTGGTTTGTTTTTTTTTTGTTTGTTTGTTTGTTTTTTTGAGATGGAGTTTTGCTCTGTCGCCCAGGCTGGAGTGCAATGGAGTAATCTCAGCTCACTGTAACCTCCACCTCCCTGGTCCAAGCGATTCTCCTGCCTCCGCTTCCCAAGTAGCTGGGACTACAAGCACCCACCACCACACCCTGCTACATTTTGTGTTTTTGGTAGAGGCAGGGTTTTACCATGTTGGCCAGACTGGTTTCAAACTCCTGATCTTGAGTGATCCACCCTCCTTGGCCTCCCAAAGTGCTAGGACTACAGGCGTGAGCCACTGCACCTGGCCTTATTTCTTAAGAAAAGAATATGTTTATTTGCTGTTTTCTTCCTCTGTCTTTTACTCTTCCACCTTCCCCTTCTTTTTCTCTCGTTGTCTCTGTCTCTCCCTCTCTCTCTCTTTCTCTCTTTCTTACTGTCCCCCCTCTATTTCAGGGTTTTTCTTCATTATCCTGTACATTTTTGCTCTCCCTTTGTGTCTAAACAAATGCTGAGAAGCTAAGAGAAACCTGTGTGCTCGATCACTTGTCTTCACTATGCGATGATTAGGCAGCATGTTGCCTTTTGTTTTTCCATGTATTTGTCTGAGGAATAAGCGCATCCTAAAAATAGAATCTTTCATATAAAATAGATGACCATGAGAATCAGGTTTCACTAGATAATGAAGTCTTATTTATATTCTAAACCATAGTAAAAACTCCCATTCTGCACTAATGCCATTTGCATATTGGTCCCCTCAGAATCTCATGTTGAAATGTGATCCCCAATGTTGGAGGTGGGGCCTGTTGGGAGGGGTTTGGATCATGGGAGTGGATCCCTCTGAATGGCTTAGTGCCATCTTCATGGTAATGAGTGAGTTCTCAGTAGTTCACACGAGATCTGGTTGTTTCAGAGAGTCTGGGACCTCCCCCTGCTCTCTCTTGCTCCCACTCTCACCATGTGACAGTTTGCTCCCCTTCACCTTCTGTCCTGAATGGAAACATCCTAAGGCCCTCACCAGAAGCAGATGCCAGCACTATGCTTCATGTATAGCCTGCAGAACTGTGAGCCATTAAGTTCCTCTTTTCTAATTTACCCAGCTTTAGGTATTCCTTTCTAGATGCATAATGGACTAACACATGCACCAAGCCTGTAATTAACAGACTTGCTTCTTTGGTTGCTCACATCTTCCCTAAAGGAGTGAACTTTCTGGGACCATTTTACTGATAAGGATACGGAGGCAAACAATACAAGTGTAGTGATGCTCCCAAAGTCACCAAGCTACTAATAAATGAGAGAATCAACATTCATTCTCAGGTCACTAAGCTTCGTCTTTGCTTCCCTACTGATCCTTAATAAATGGCCAAACCAGTAGCTTCAGGGTCTCACAGGCCAACAAACGTAGACAGCAGTGCCACTGAGTCTATGACTGGTTAGAATAATAGGGTCTCAAATACCCTGTGAACCTTACAAATTCATATAAACCCAGTGTCAATATCATGCCACTGTTCTATCTCAATGAGGACTGATACGGTTTGGCTGTGTCCCCACCCAAATCTCATCCTGAATTGTAGCGCCCATAATTCCCATGTATTGTGGGAGGGGCCCTGTGTGAGATAACTGAATTATAGGGGCAGTTTCCCCCATGACACTCTCATGGTAGTGAATAAGTCTCATGAGACCTGATGGTTTTATGAGAGGTTTACCCTTTTGCTTAGCTCTCATTCCCTCTCTTGCCTCATCACCATGTAAGATGTGGCTTTGCTCCTCCTTGCCGTCCACCATGATTGTGAGGCCTCCCCAGCCATGTGGAACTGTGAGTCCATTAAATCTCTTTCCTTTGTAAATTACCCAGTTTCAGGTATGTCTTTATTAGTAGTAGCATGAGAAACAGAAAGATGTCCCCAGGTTGCTAGGAAAACAAATTGGTGTCCAAAGTCATAGAGAGGTAAATATTCCTCCCCCAGGGGCTGTAGAATGAGGCCACAGAAATAAGATTTTCCCATTTGTGGCTTAAAAATGTGTCCTGCTCAGTGGAAGTTGGCACTGATTTTCTGGGAATGCAGAACACTCCCAGAAAGAGGGTGAGAAGTGGGTCTCATGCATTGAATGTTTAGCCTAAGCTCTTGATTCCCAGGCCAAGCTCAGAAAAGAAGCTTACCTTTGGGGATATATATATATATCGTGTGTGTGTGTGTGTGTGTGTGTGTGTGTGTGTGTGTGTTTGCATTCCAATAAAACATTTTAAAAGTTTTTTTTATTTCCATAGGTTATTGGGGAACAGGTGGTGTTTGGTTACATAAGTTCTTTAATGGTGATTTGTGAGATTTTGGTGCACCCATCATTCGAACAGTGTACACTGCACCATATTTATAGTCTTTTATCCCTCACCCCCTTCCCACTCTTTCCCCGAGTCCCCAAAGTCCATTGTGTCATTCTTATGCTTTTGCATCCTCATAGCTTAGCTCCGACTTATAAGTGAGAACATATGATGTTTGGTTTTCCATTCCTGAGTTACTTCACTTAGAATAATGCTTGCCAATCTCATCCAGGTTTCTACAAATATCATTAATTCATTCCTTTTTGTGGCTGAGTAGCATTTCATCATATATGTGTATACACACACACACACACACACACACACCAGAGTTTCTTTATGCACTCGTTGATTGCTGAACATTTGGGTTGGTTCCACATTTTTGCAATTGCAAATTCTGCTGCTATAAACATACAGGTGCCATTATCTTTTTCACATAATGACTTCTTTTCCTCTGTGTAGATACCTAGTAATGGGACTGCTGGATCAAATGGTAGTTCTCCTTTTAGTTCTTGAAGGAATCTCCACGCTGTTTTCCGTAGCGATTGTACTAGTTTACATTCCCACCAGTGGTGTAAAGGGTTCCCTGTTCACTGCATCCATGACAACATCTATTATTTTTTTATTTTGTGATGATGGCCATTCTTGTGGTTTTGATTTGCATTTCCCTAATCACTGGTGATGTTGAGCATTTTTTCATATGTGTATTGGCCATTTGTGATTCTGTATCTTTTTTTTTTTTTTTTTCGAGGTGGAGTCTCACTCTGTTGCCCAGGCTGGTGTGCAGTGGCACAATCTCGGCTCACTGCAACTGCCGCCTCCCAGGTTCAAGCAATCCTCCTGCCTCAGCCCCTCTAGTAGCTGAGATTACAGGCATGTGCCATCATGCCTGGCTAATTTTTGTATTTTTAGTAGAGATGGGTTTTTGCCATATTGGCCAGGCTGGTCTCAAACTGTCCTCAGGTGATCCACCCACCTCAGCCTCCCAAAGTGCTGGGATTGCAGGCATGAGCCACAAGTGGAGAATTTAAGGCCATGAATTCAATGTTAGTATTAAGATGTGAGGTACTATTCCAGTCATTGTGCTGTTTGTTGCCCGTATAACTTGTTTTTTTGTGTGTTTTCTTAATTTGTATTTTTGTTTTGTAGGTCCTGTGAGATTTATGCTTTAAAGAGGTTCTGTTTTGCTGTGTTTCCAGGGTTTGTTTCAAGATTTAGACCTCTTTTCAGCAGTTATTATATTGCTAGCTTGGTAGTAGTGAATTCTCTCAGTATTTATCTGAAAAAGACTGTATCTTTCCTTCATTTATGAAGCTTAGTTTCACTGGATACAAAATTCTTGGCTGATCATTGTTTTGTTTAAGGAGGCTGAAGCTAGGGCCCCAATCCCTTCCAGTTTGTAAGATTTCGTCTGAGAAATCTGCTGTTAATCTGATAGGTTTTAAAAAAAAGTAGGTTACTTGATACTTTTGCCTCACAGCTTTTAAGATTCTTTCCTTCATCTTGACTTTAGATAACCTGATGACAATGTGCCCAGGAGATAATCTTTTTTGTGGTGAATTTCCCCCATGTTCTTTGAGCTTCTTGTATTTGGATATCTAGTCTCTAGCAAGGCTGGGGAAATTTTCTTCTATTATTCCCCCAAATATTTTTCCCGAACTTTTACATTTGTCTTCTTCCTCAGGAACGCCAATTATGATTAGGTTTGGTTGTTCAACATAACCCAGACCTCTTGGAGGCTTTGTTGATATTTTCTTACTCTTTTCTGTTTGTCTTTGTTGGATCAGGTTCATTTGAAAACCTTTCCTTCAAGCTCTGAAGTTCTTTCTTCAGCTTGTTTGATTCTATTGCTGAGACTTTCCAGAGCATTTTGCATTTCGATGAGGGCATTCACTGTCTTCTAAAGTGTTGATTATTTTTTATTTATGCTATCAATTTCACTGAAGATTTCTCCCCTCATTTCTTGTATTTTCTTTTTTTTTCTTTAATTTCCTTAAATTGGGCTTCACTTTTCTCTTGTGCCTCCTTGATTAGCTTAATAACTGACCTTTTGAATTCTTTCTCAACTAAATCAGGGATTTCTTCCTGGTTTGGATTTATTGCTGGTGAGCTAGTGTAATTTGGGGGGCGGGAGGTGTTAAAGAACCTTGTTTTGTCATATTACCAAATTTGGTTTTCTGGTTCCTTATCATTTGGGTAGACTCTGCTAGGGCTCAAGGCTGTTGTACAAATTCTTTTGTCCCATGGGTATTCCCTTGATGTAGTACTCTCCCCCTTTTCCTCTGAATTTTTTTAATTTTTGGTCTGTTCCCTCTGCAGAAAGGCCAAAGCATGATCGTCGGCATCGCACAAAACTTCTTTCCCATCAACTCGAGGCATTGAGAAAAACGTTTGAAGAGACCATGTACCCAAGTCTGGCTACAATGGTGAAACTGGCTTCAGAGCAACACCTCGATCTATCTGTTGTAAAGGTCTGTCCCCAAGTGTATCTGTAGGTAGCATGCCTGGCCCAGAGCTTCACACACACTTTTAATCATTGTTACAACAATTCCTATTTCTTGACAATTGCTATGTACAAGGACAGATGTTAAGCACTTTATATTCTTATTGTCATGAGCACCCACTTTATTGAGGGACACTAAGGCTCACATAGAAGAGCTGTCTTTGGCCGGGCACGGTGGCTCAAGCCTGTAATCCCAGCACTTTGGGAGGCTGAGGTGGGTGGATCACGAGGTCAAGAGATCGAGACCATCCTGGTCAACATGGTGAAACCCCGTCTCTACTAAAAATACAAAAAATTAGCTGGGCATGGTGGCGCGTGCCTGTAATCCCAGCTACTCAGGAGGCTGAGGTGGGAGAATTGCTTGAACCCAGGAGGCAGAGATTGCGGTGAGCTGAGATCATGCCATCGCTCTCCAGTCTGGGCAATGATAGCAAAACTCCAAAAAAAAAAAAAGAAGAGCTGTCTTCCAAGCTTTATAAACACAAGAGCTGGAATTTGAACCCAGACCTTCTAACTCCAGACCCACCATGCTACACAGGACTGTGAGGCTGGATCTCAGATACTCCCATTTAGGTCTATTCTTGTGTATTCAGGACTTAAGTTACCAAGTTCCCACAGAGCACTGAGGGGAGAACATCTGGATTAACTCTGAAGACATCCCAAGCCAAACTCTCACCCCGTACTCTGACTTTAAAATACTTTCTCTGGGCACCAGGCATAGTGGCTCACACTTGTAATCCTAGCACTTTGGGAGACAGAGGCAGGAGGGTCACTTGAGCTTGGTTCAAGACCAGACTGGGCAACATAGCAAGACTATGTCTCTACAAAAAAATTAAAAGTTAACCAGGCCTGGAGGTGCATGCCTTTAGTCCCAGCTACTTGGGAGACTGAGATAGGAGGATCGCTTAAGCTCAGGACTTCGAGGCTGCAGTAAGCTGTGATTGCACCACTGCACTCCAGACTGGGTGACAGAGCAGTACCCTGCCTCAAAAAAAAAAATTACACCACTAATATAAATCCCTTTTTGCTTAATCCATCATGACCTAGGTCATATTTCATTGCTAGTACAATCCTACACCCACTTTTCCCTTGAAACCCAGGACAGCAGAGAATAGAAAGAGCTTCCCTTGTTCCAATAAATGTAAGACTAACTCTGTCTCACACCAAAAAAACAAATTCCTGAGGAACATGAGGATGCCCCTTTATACTCAACCCCCATTATTAACTTCTCCTCTCCCCCTTCCTAGATATGGTTCAAGAACCAGCGGGCCAAATGGAAGCAGCAGCAGCAGCAGCAGCAAATGCAGCCACAGCTATCACTAGGAGCATCAGGCCGGACCATTTCAGTAAAGGAGGAGACTCCATCAGCCGTAACTACTGCAGACATTCATCCAGTACGTCCTAGAATCTCTGATGTAAATGACCATGATCTACATGAGCCTTCTGGTATCAAGAATCCTGGAGAAGCCAGCGCCTCTGTGAGGGATTCATCCGGGCATTCCCAGTCACATGATATTGAACAGATATGTCTGGGGGCTTCAGATCTTCCTTGGGCCTCCGCCCCCTATGAAATAGATGAATTTGTAAAGATCTATGACCTGTCAGAGGAAGATGACACCAGCAGCCTAAATCAATATCTTTTTCCTCCCAGTGTGCCTGGAGTATGACCAGCTCCGATCTTCAGTGTAACTTCTTATGCACAGGCTGGGCGTGGTGGCTCACGCCTGTAATCCCAGCACTTTGGGAGGCCGAGGTAGGCAGATCAGGAATTCGAGAACAGCTCGGTCAACATGGAGAAACCCCGTCTGTACCCAAAAAAAAATACAAAAAAAATTAGCTAGGCATGGTGGCACATGCCTGTAATCCCAGCTACTCGGGAGGCTGAGGCAGGAGAATCGCTTTAACACAGGAGGTGGAGGTGGCAGTAAGCCAAGATCACACCACTGCACTCCAGACTGGGCAACAAAAGTGAAACTCTGTCTCAAAAAAAAAAAACTTACAAACAACTTGTGGGGGAGGCCTGTGATCTGACCCAGTAAGATATATTTCCAAACACCTTTAATGGGTTGATCCCAGTCTAAATAGATCAGAGGCTATAAATTTATCTTTTTCTGTAAGAAAAAACAATAAAGGAACTCCCCTCTCTTTCATCATTGCCTGCATTTTCTGGCTCCATTTTAGTGCCTCCTCCCCCAAATTTCAGCGTTAAAGACTGTCATCAGAGAAGTGACACCAGCAACACAGTGAACAATGACGTGGGAGGTTCCTGACTCTGATGCACTGAATAAACATCTACACCTGGATCAGTTCTCTCTGGGAGAAAATCAGAAACGAGCTGAGACTTCTATACACCAGGCAACTGAGAAAACGTCTTATCAAACAGGGAGCAGTGGCTCACGCCTGTAATCTCAACACTTTGGGAGGCCGAGGCAGGCAAATCACAAGATCAGGAGTTGGAGACCAGCCTGACCAACATGGTGAAATCCCACCTCTACTAAAAATACAAAAATTAGCTGGGCATCATGGCACATGCCTGTAATCCCAGCTACTCGGGAAGCTGAGGCAGGAGAATCGCTTGAACCAGTGAGCCAAGATCATGCCACTCCAGCCTGGGTGACAGAGTGAGACTTTGTCAAAAAACAACAACAACAAAAAAAAAAAAACGACAGGAAAAGCTGAAGCACTAAGGAACCAAATCCACCCTGAGCACTGAGCATCCAATCAGGAAGGAATTCCTAGTACTCAGCTTCTCCCCAAGGAGAGAAGGGGTGAACCACACATATCCCTCAAACTGTTAATGGTTAAGTTCCTAACTAGCCTGCATCAGGGAGCTGACTAGATAGATAAACTACAGACTTACAAGAGCCTGAACAAAGGCTCAGTGCCTCCCAAGCCTTCACCCCCAGCTAAACCCACCAGTAAATCCAGGTCTGTCAATTCCTCCTGAAAGAAGTTTGTCCACGCATCGATCACCCCAACTTTTATTGCTGCCACTCAAGGGACTGCATCCTAAACCTCCTAGCTCTGGAAATGGAAGGGACTAGGCATATGTGAGTCTCCCTAGCTCACAGAAGGAAAAGGTGGTTTTAAGCAGCCACACAAGCACTTCAGGGTTAGCCTTCCTCTGCCACACTCCCCCAACCAGAGCAGTGCGGAGAAGAGGTCAAAACGCACAGTTCCCAGTTTCTCCTCAAAAAGGATTTGCCAGCACACTCTTCCAGCTGCTGCTTGGTAGTCCCTTTTTTAACCAGCTTGAATCCGGGAGTGCACAAGACAGACAAATGCTGGACCCTCGGGAGCCTGCACAGGAGTTCGGACACTCTCCAAGCCTTTTGCCCTTGCTTGCCCAATGGGAAATCTACAGACTCTCCCTGGAAGGAGTTTTTCCATGTGGTGAGCACCCAAACCTTTTTTTTTTTTTTTTTTTTTTGAGACAGAGTTTTGCTCTTTTTACCCAGGCTGGAGTGCAATGGCACAATCTCGGCTCACCGCAACCTCCACCTCCTGGGTTCAGGCAATTCTCCTGCCTCAGCCTCCTGAGTAGCTGGGATTACAGGCACGCACCACCGTGCCCAACTAATTTTTTGTATTTTTTTGTAGAGACGGGGTTTCACCATGTTGACTAGGATTGTCTCGATCTCTTGACCTCGTGATCCACCCGCCTCGGGCTCCCAAAGTGCTGGGATTACAGGTTTGAGCCACCACACCCGGCCGAGCACCCAAACTTTTACAGTTTCCACTGCATCCTAAATCACCTATCTCTGGGAAGTGAAGGGACTTGGCATTCACTAGTTTCCCTGGATCACAGCAAAGAGGCGATTTTAAACTGATGCACAAACATTTCCAGTACACTGGAATATTCCCAGGGGCCTGAGGCTGCGCACACCCAGCTGGCCACTACCACCTCAGGTGGCATCTACCTGCAGGTGCCACTTACGGGCCTGGAGACTGGCCTGCTCAGCCCATTGCAACTATCACCAACACTAGCACAAGCTGATTGGGAGGTAGATTGTCCTGCCAATGTTATTGGGAGCTAGATTGTCCTGCCAATGTTATTGCCATTGCCTGTGCCACACTTGCTGCCCAGTGGCCCCAGGAACTGTGCATCTACCTGGCCCATGGCTGCCAATGCCAGCACCCAAGCAAGCCACCTGGAAACCCAGAAATTGGCCCACCTGAACCTGCTAAGACCTGTGCCAGCATACACCATCCTAGGGCTCAAGGACAGGCATACTTGGCCCACCACTGCCACCACTGTGCCCAAGAACTGGCCCACCTGGCATCCCCTGTCCCCAGAAAAACTTCACCACAGACTCCACTAGCAACTGCACTTTAAGTCACAGAGGAAATAACACACTACTGATGTTGCTTACAGCCAAAGAAATCATACAAAGATCATACCTGGATAAAGAATTCAAAATAACGATATTAAAGAAGCTCAGTGAGATACAGAAGAACTCAGAAAAATAATACAAACAAATTAGAAAAACAATTCAGGATATGAATGAAAAGTTTACCAAAGAGATAGACATAAAAAAGAACCAAACAAATTCTGTAAAAGAGTACTTCATTGAATGAAATACAAAATATATTTGAAAGCTTCAGTGATCGACTAAATCAAATAGAAAAAAGAATTTCAGAAACTGAAGCCCTTTTTAAGTAACCCAGGAAGACAAAAAGATAAAGAATTTAAAAGAATGATAAAAGCTGTATGAGATACCATAAAGCAACCAAATTTTCAAATTATTGGGGTCCCAGAAGGCAAAGAGAGAAAGAGCAAAAGGTTAAGAAAATCTTTTAATAAAATAATTGGGCACAGTGGCTCACACCTGTAATCCCAGCACTTTGGGAGGTCGAGGCAGCTTGGTCACTTGAGGTCAGGAGTTCAAAACGAACCTAGCCAACATGGTTGAAACCCCATCTCTACTAAAAATACAAAATTAGCCAGGCACAATGGCACATGACTGTAATCCCAGCTACATGGGAGGCTAAGGGAGGAGAATCACCTGAACCTGGGAGGCTGAGGTTGCAGTGAACCAAGATCGCACCATTGCACTCCAGCCTGGATAAAAAGAGTGAAACTCTGTCTCAAAATAATAATAATGTCTGTTAATTTTTTTAAAAAAAATGTCTAGCTTGATCTTAAAGGAATGAATCATTCCCTAAGAGAACTAAGGGCTGGAGGCCTTGAGTTCTGCCAGCCAATCCCAGGAGTTAGCTATAAGAGTCACTACTCACCTTTGCAAAATTCAGCTTGATCAGTGACCTCTCCTTTAGTTTCAGGAAGAAGAAGCAAGAACCTTTAGGTAATTAATAAGTAAATGACTGATGTGAAGAAACGCTGAGGCTCTAAAGCTGGATGGAACAGAGACTGGACTATTCTCTGAACATCTAAGTCTATGCAGCTATAAACAAGAAGGTAAGGCTGCAGGAGCTGACCCAGAGGCCCCAAGATGCATCAGTAAACCAGGATGGTAGCAACTGTGGAGCTGTGTGGTGCAGCAGTCCCCAACATTTTTGGCACCAGGAACTGGTTTCGGGGAAGGCAATTTTTCCACAGACGGTGGTGGCCCACCAGGTAGGTGGGGTGGGTGGGGTGGGGTGGGGGGTTGTTTGGGGATATTTCAAGCTCATTTCATTTATTGTGCACTTTATTTCTATTATTATTACATTATAATATATAATTAAATAATTATACAACTCACTATAATGTAGAATCAGTGGGAGCCCTGAGCTTGTTTTCCTGCAACTAGATGGTCCTACATGGGGGTGATGGAAGACAGTGACAGATCATCAGGCATTCGGTTCTCATAAGGAGTGTGCAACCTATAGATCCCTCAAATGCACAGTTCACAATTAAGTTTGTGCTCCTGTGAGAATCTAAGGCCCTAGCTGATCTGACAGGAGGCGGAGCTCAGGCTGTAATGCCAGCGATGGGGAGTGGTTGCAAATAGAGATGATGCTTTGCTCATTGGCCCGCTGCTCACCTGGTGTGCGGCCTGGTTCCTAACTGGCCACCAATGGGCACTGGTCTGTGGGTGTGGGGAGCGGGGATGTCGGGGACCACTGGTGTAGAGTGCTCTCTTGTAACCCACCCAGCGTTTAAGTGAGTGCAGATTTGCAAACACAACCACCTTCTCTAGAAGGGACCCTATGAGTTGGAGGATGACACCACAGCCCGGAGTTTTGCTTTTGACTTCTGTAATGTTTAGGCATTTATTACGGTAAGCATAGCTTACTAATGAAATTTAAGAAACGACTGCATTCCCAGCACTTTGGGAGGCCGAGGCGGGTGCATCACGAGGTCAAGAGATCGAGACCATCCTGGTCAACATGGTGAAACCCCGTCTCTACTAAAAACAGAAAAAATTAGGTGGGCATGGTGGCGCGTGCCCGTAATCCCAGCTACTCGGGAGGCTGAGGCAGGAGAATTGCCTGAACCCAGGAGGCGGAGGTTGCGGTGAGCCGAGATCGCGCCATTGCAGTCCAGCCTGGGTAACAAGAGCGAAACCCCGTCTCAAAAAAAAAAAAAAAAAAAAAAAGACTGCACTAAGCGGTGAAATACTACATGGGTGTTTACTTTGTTGTTGTGTTTGCACGAACATTTAAGAAAAATAAAGCATTAAGAATTGGTGGCAGTCGTGGTGGAAGCTTTTTTTTTTTTATTGTTTTTTTTTTTTGAGACAGAG